TAAAAAAGCTTATTTTGCGGTAGTTCAGGCGACAGTCAGGTAGTCTGTTTCAGACCATGTTACGATATAAAAGACTATAAAATAATATAACAAGTATACGATCGTACTATAGTGGACCAGGAACTGCGTGACCCAGTTTCGATCTTGTGCAAGTCGTTCAAAACCTTCGAGATTTTGACTTGATAAATAAATAACTAGACACTTGTGAAACTAATGTTCTCGAAGTTTGCAACGTAGACTGAGTTCACTAAGGTCTTAGGTTTTTTCAAAGAGCGTCGCCCCCCTAACAACAACAACAACAACAACAACAACAACAACAACAACAACAACAGCAGCAGCAGCAGCAACAACAACAACAACAACAACAACAACAACAACATTAGCAGCGATTGCATGGGCGGGGACCAGTTCCTGGTCCAAAAACAAGTTGACAAAGATGAGTTTAGTTCTTAGATTATTTACAAAGCAAATCTATATACCTATGAATATATAAATGTTTTGTTAGTGGAATCTTAAATATTAAAATGTTTGTTAGTGGAATCTGGGAAATAAAATCAATGCCAATGTTGAGCGCTTTATAATAAAAAACTATAGCTGTCAACTGAATAACAACTGTATAAAATTTATAGCTGCCTCACTGCTTTATATAAATATATATATATATATATAAATATATATATATATATATATATATATATATATATATATATATATATATATATATATATATATATATATATATACATATATATATATATATATATAAAAAAATAGAATATGACTGTCTATAAACAACAAGCAGTGTTATTTTTAAGTTTACGTTTTATATTGATTTATTATGTAAAAACAAAAAAGTAAACTACAATATTAAAACAGTAGCTAAAGCAGATCCTTTGTAAATGATGTCCTACACTGCGTGGAAATGAACGTAATCTTGATTGATTGATTCTTTAATTTTCTGTAGAGGTTTTGTTTTGCTCAAAAATACAGCTTCAATGATGAAGAATGACTGTAACAGTTTATTCATATTCATTTATCTCGCTTTTTTTAAATATTTTGACGTTGTGACGTCACCGTGAGATCGTGTCAAGAAAGTCTGATATCTTTGATGATAACTTAATAAAATTTAGTCAAACTTGGCATGTTTACACTGTAATGGGTGCACCTGCAAGTGAACAGTTCGGATTATTTATGTTTTGCCATAACAAATAATTAGTCCCCACTCTTTACTCGTTTAGCTTCTCTTCTTTTTTACAAATTCCTCCTGTAGACTTTAGTTTACTCGTTTCAATGGTTTACACAGGGCTGTAAATACTCGTTACAATTGTAACGCGTTACTGTGTACTCGTTACATTTGAAGTAATTTTAACCTCTAATTAATTACGTTTTTAGAAATGTAACGAAAAACGTAATTAATTACAAAAGCAAGGAACGTGTTCCTTTTCCAAGGAGCAAGTTGAAAATTCCTTTTCTTATTTTGTTAAAAGTGAGAAATAAAAAATACAACGTTACGACAAAAATTCAGAAAAATGGCTGAAATAATTTTCAACGAGATCACTGCACATGACATGATAGCCTACATGAAGTACTATTTAATTTATTGCGAAAGTGGAACCACAATTTGTTCCGAGGCTCAGAGCGCCAAATATTGGCAAATAAAGTTTTAAGAGTTTACATGCTTCGATTTGCATGTAAAATTTTTAATATATTGAAATATCATCTTGATAAATTCTTGCAAATTTCATAGTTTATGCCGTTTTTATTTACAACTACTGTTTAAGATATTATAATATATATAGTAACAATTTGCCGGTAAAGGAATTTGTAATTAATTCCTTTTTTCCGCAGTAATTTTTTCATTGTACTTAATTTCATTTTAGAACAAGTAATTGTAATCAAGAATTTATTACATTTTAAAGCAAGTAATTGTAATTGGAATTAATTCCTTTTTCAGTGGTAATCTTGCAGCCTTGGGTTTACAATTATCACAACACCTATGAATACTATCGTAATAAGCGGAAATTGCAGAAATTGGTTTTTATTTCGCTGGAAATGGTGGAAACGAACACCGCGGGGAAACATCTGCTCATGCCAAATCGTAAACTTTTAAAAACATTGCTATTTAATTATTTAAGGTAATTGAAACAAACAAAAAAATACATTAGACGGGTAGTTTAGATATTAATAAAAAGTTTTCTAACATTACAGTAAAAATCTATAAAGAAACAGAATTTAAATTAAAAATTACCGTTTAAATTAAGACCAGGAGGCGTAGACTATAATTATTTCTCCTTTTATTTTGTCACGTTCATTATTCCGCTTGCATTTTCGGGCAAAACATCGAAGTCGCTCCTTGTCGCTTCCATTTTGAGTTTTCGACAACCATTTTGAGTTATTGACAATTTTTATTTTGCTCATGTACATATATCTTTTTCTTATTTGTAGCATATGTAGAAGAAGCTCACCTGTTTGTTAGTTTCGTAACAGGAGAGTCCAGGAAAATGTCTAGCGTAAAGTGTAAACATATACATGTTCCAACTTATGTACTTTTATTGTACTTACCTAGCTTTAATTCTATTAGTTTACATATGCAGAGAAAGCATTAAACAAAAATGAGAAATTATAAGACTTCAAAAGCTTACAGACTGCAGACATATTAAATATACATTCAGTAACAACACGCGAATTGCTATAAATAGCAACGTTACAGTCTAGTATAATGATATGATGATTTGTTGTGTTTTTGTTGTAAGTAGGCCTATCACTAAAATATATTGAAAATCCTTCTAAACGATTCTTTATAAAGTATACAAAGCATATACATTGATATCGAAACACAAAATTCAAAGTTTTGAACAATTTGAGCTTCGTGACTCTGGTATAGACGTATGGGCCTAATGATTTAATTGTGTTACATTCCACTGGAAATCACCAAAATGAGCTTTTTTAAAAGTCTCGCGTGAGGCTCCAAGGCAATAACCCACGCTAGTTTTTATATATAACATGTACCCATGCTATACCATTCCGTGGATGAAATATAAACAAATTCACGATTATCGCACATAGTAAATTTCCCCTTCAAATCCAGTGACAAAATGCAATTGTAAAATTTGACTAAAAATAGCCAATTTCAACAACGTCTGTCAGGCCAGTTAAAGCCTCCTGGGCCATTCTATATTGATAAAATTGTTCTTTAATACTTGAATTATAGTCATTAAACCATCAAAACTATCTACGATCAGTTTTGAATCTGTCGCGAAGTGATGAAATTGACCATGGCAACGGCTTTGTCTGCGGCTAATTATAGCCTTCCGGAGACAAATTCTTGATTTCTGATATTTGTACGTTTATCGACCAAATATTGAATATCTAACCCAAACACCATTTATAACTAGGTATTACCTAAATTTGAGCAAAATATGAAAGAAATCTATTTTTCATCTATTGCCACTGTTTGCTCGATTTTTACGGACAGTCGCTCTTAAATCTCGAAGCAACCAAATGTTTTCATATACACGCTGACATGTAAACAATACTAAACTATAATAAACAGCTCGCAAAACGTCCCAACAAACTCGCCATATTTTAACACTTCCAGGCCTTTGATTCGGATGAAAACCCGTACAGACATCAGAAAATACCCAGAAATTGATCACAACTTGTAAAATTGAACGATTCTTTAATACTTTTGCAGAAATTCAACAAATTGTGCAAACGTAATTTTCCCACTCCTAATAGGAAATAGTATGGGAAATGGCGCTGGCCGCGCGCTCGCCCCAATGTGTTTGCACCCCCTGAGCCAATGGCGTCGGAAACCTTGAATCCC